CTAACTAAGACCAAGACACATTGTGCTAGGTACTGTGCAGACATGTTGAGACAAAGTCTCTTTCCTACTCTAAAATTGTTTGTGGGAAGAGAAACAGAAGTATCATGATGAAGTGCTTTGGCCAAGGTCACACAGTAGGTCAGTGGCAGAGCTGGACAAGGAACCCAAGGGCATTTGATTAGAAATCGGGCAACTTTCCACAAAACTACCTGTTCACCAACTGCCCTGCATTTAAATAAATGTGAAGGGTGATGAAGAGGAAAGGGATTTAAATGCAATGGTGGAAGTAACACAGCCTGTACCCTTGGAGTTTATCCAAGTTCCCATGAATCTATGAGCTGCAAAATTTTTGGGATGAGGCTCTTCTCTTCCATCTCTGCACAGCACCTAAAACAGAGCTGACACTGAATCCACTGATGCTATTACTGCATCAGTGATGAGCAGACTGCCACCTTGGGTTATGATCTGCCAGCAAAGATTTATCACATCAGTGTGAATAATAATTTACTAGAACATTCACAGTTTCTCTCTCTCGATCACACAAACATATGACCCAAAATGTTCGTAGCAGCCAGGAAAGGAAGGGGAGGAAAAAAAAGACACCTCTCCAGCAAACACTGTTAGTCATTTGATATTCCATCACTTTTCATTGTATCACATTCCTGTTATGCCACATTACATCAGGTTATCACACCACGGGATGTAATCCAACACTGATGCATGAGGGAACCTAATGCAACGAGACACATCAATGGCTCACTGAGAATGGGCTTTATTTCTTGGTTTCTGGTCCACTACTCACCATCATTCTGGGCAGGAAGCTAAATTTGTTTGATGCTGTGGGGAAATAGCAGTACATAAAAATACCCTTGCTCTGGGCAAATCCACTGGCTGTGCCAATAAGAGTCAGGTAGTTGGACATCTCTCTATAAATAATATTGGCTGCCCCCAGTGTTCCTGCCAGGTCCCATTGTCCCTGGAGCCAGAGATATGGGAATAAGAGGATGCCAGAAATGGATTGTTGCCTCTTAAACAATTTCAGAAGGCAGCTGATTGAGGTGGAAGAAAAAAAAAACCAATATTTACAATGTTCACTAGTCCTTGCTCTGCAGAAGGGCTGGGAGAGCGATGGCTGCAGGGTTGCCATCAGGCAAGTGGACGGAAGGACAGAACCCTTGCCTCATGCGATACACTGAGGAAATAAGCAGGGCAGGGTACATCATCCCTGACGCTCAGCACACACCAAACCAAGGGCCTTGAGGGAAGGCTGACTGAAGGCTGCCAGCCACACTATGAAGTTCACCCTTCCCATCAAGCTGTTGTTTTTGGGTGTTCTGAGGGGTGAAGAGTAGCTGCATCCCAGTGACCACCTAACATTTCCCACTGTTGTACTGCCCCTCCATGCAGCTCAACCGGCACTGCCAATAAGGGATGCCACAGTATAGACAAGGTGCTGGCACATTTAAGAACTAAGTCTAGACTTGATGATCCTAAAAGCACCAGTAGCATAAGTGTTTGTTGCACTCAGAAGAGGAGCTTAGAGCCAGAGGTAGACCCTTCTGCAAAGCTATTACAGTGGGCTATTCCCATTAACTATCTTTACTAACTGGTTTGTACAGTAGTGACCCTTCTATATCAGGTACTAAAACACTCAAGGAATGCTTTAAAGTATGAGGACAGACAAACACAGGCAAACAGGATCTGGATTCTCCACAGGCAACAGAAAAGGGAGTTTTGGAGCAACTTCAGTGGAAGTAGTGGAAAGCAGGAGCTGCTGGCATTTTTCAGCCCAGACGACTGTATGGAAGAAGGGACAGAGCAGATCATGCAAAAACCTGACAGGCAAGCAGCCAAGGCTGGGAGAACAAAGACTGATGGAGACCAGACAAAGACTGACAAGGGATGAGAAGTTCCTCAGTGTTTTTCACACTTGCTGTTTCTCCTCCCAGTTTGTTTTCCCCACAGCTCAAGCCTTCTCCTCTATTGGAAGAAGTTAGACCTGACACTACTGGGGCACTGGCATCTAAAAATCATTCTGGCATGTGGATTTGGTCTCCCATTAGCCCACTGCTAACAGCATCACAGAGGAATTTATGATGGGGCTGACATAGTTATTATGTCACAGTGATGACATAGTTATCATGCACATGGCATGGGACAAAAGGAAAGGAGGTCATGGGATGGACCTCCACCAATTCTTCCTCTAGGAGCACATTTGACAATGGTTTCATATTCCTGAGGGCTCTCATCCTG